TGATCATCTTTTTTCTTTAGGGAATTGAAATGAATAATCAATGAGTGACGACTTTTCATTAATCATTGTAATGAAAACCTAATGAGAAATTAAGTGGACTCTACGTTGTATTTAGTCTCTACTCTTTATTGTTATACTTCAATTGGAAGTAATACGCGGCCTAGTCGGTGTTTAGGAATTAGATTATTCCTGTTGTGTTATGGAGACAAAAAGACGAGAAACCAAACTTTGTAGTCGACCGTTGTAAAGGAAGTGCTACAAACGACGCGGACAAATAGAGACGATACACTTTTCCCCTGCAAACTATATTAAAAGACAAAGAGGGCAATACGTCTATCAGTTTCCCGTAATTTACAATTACGTTCATTGTCTAGTAAAACACCGCATCAGTGGACATTACATTAATGACGACTTGGTCTTGTCATTGCGGCAATGTGATGACGCAATGTCTGTCTAAATTAGACTAATAATGACAATTGCCGCAAAAAACATCGGTCAATGCGAGGGTTGTAAACCAAATAATAATTCATATAATCAAAGTACTAGAACACGTCTAGTAAACCTTATTAATCCCTATACACTCAGTATGGGATTTCAGAAATTTGGGTTTAGTTACTACATCCCATAATTGGGACAATTTCGGTTTTTGTATCTTTTTGAAAAAAAACCTGGAAAGTCTACAACAAACATCCCTCGGAGACCTCGTCTTTTACTTTCTCAAAAGGTAAACAAATGCAAAACCATTTAAAAAATTCTCTTTTAGAACATTATAACATGAATACACCCGTCGTCTTAAAGAGCATAAAGATGAGTGTAACAGACTTATATGTTATATAAACTTGTGATTCCCAATTGAACGTCCTAACTAACGAATGAATCGCGGATATAGTTATATATCGTACTTATTATTAGTGTGTAGTCAGTAATAAACAATACTCATCATATAACTAATTTATCATTACGTTACCATTCAGGGTTTTTGTCAAGGACGAGCAGCCTTTTCGGTGGTTGTGCCTCTGCCAGTGTGGAACGACGTAACGTACAAACACATGGAACATTTACTGAAGGAGACACGTATAGACCTGGGTCTTTTAGTCATATTAACCTGACTATATTTTTTTTTTTAAGTCGGGTCGCTTAGACAAGTGCCCCGAACACCACAAATAAACCAACCCCGAGCTACAGTTGTATTAGTGTATTAACGCCAACACCCAAAGAAACAGGTGAACAGGGTTGTCCGTAGAAGATACGGAGAATATGCGAGTATCGTCACAAGTGACAGGAAGACTAAGGTAGAGTTTTAGTGAAAGAAGGAAAAAACCTACCCGTAGTGTAGGACGTGTGACTAGGTCCCTGAAAGAGAAACGACCAACCGTAAAGACTTTACCTTTTTAATTAATTGATTTTCCTTACGTACGTGGTGGTGGGGGGCGCTGTGTATGGAGGAGAAGGCGTGTGGTGCAGTGGGTTGTGCGTTGGTGTTCGGATCAGGGGAGCTCAGGTTCAAACCCCACTGCAGTCAGCATGTCGTTGTGTCCCTGAGACACTTCACCCCAAATTGCTCCTGTGGGGATTGCCCACAGTATTGAGTATGTAAGTCGCTTTGGATAAAAGCCTCTAACAAGTGACATGTAATGTAATGTAATGTGTTACTTTCTTTGAGTAACTGCGCCAACAATGATAATAACATTTTTTAGGTAATTCAATTACACTCTATCTCATACGTCGTTTCTGTCGAATTTCTTTCTGTATGCGAACATGTCTGTGGTAATTCTATCTATTTAAAAAAACATGAGTGCAATACAAACTAGAATAATAATAGATTTGATTTTCAAACAAGGACAGGACTACAAGATTAGGTCCCAATGCAGGGACCCAGCTTAGTTAATATTTTAAATGAAGTCTTAAAAGTACTGACTGAGCCGTGGCCTTTAGGAGTCTGATGCCCTGAGGCAGTTCAGTGACTTTGCCCCTGGACTGAGCGGCATTGAGCTGCATGTTAAAGAGTTCAAAATGTAACATGGAGATGAATGATATATGGCCTATGACTTTAAGACCTTGAATATGTTATCACACATGTGATGCAAGAATCCACATGAAGTATTAATATCACCTACAGAGCTTAATGATATCCTCTAGTATCTTGTAATCCCAAGTTTCAATGCAATGTAATTATTGAAAAAAAGTTTTATCTGAGAAGTTGTTTCTTTTAACACATGTACCTGTACAACTGATTGGATGGTGATGAGTGGATGCTCCCCTGGTTTAAATGGAGGCACACTGAATTTTGTGATCATATTTATGACCTTGTTTGGTGGGTTTTAGCATATGTTTACATATTTGCTCTTGATGTTTTATGCATTCTATTAAGTTTTTTATGAATGTTATGCTAAAGAGTGAGTGTGTTTAGCATCTAACTTGGACCCCTGGAGACAATACATCTTTAGTGAAATGATTGACGATGTTGCATAGATTCAGTATGCAGGGATCAGTTGCTAAAATAAGGCTTTTGATCTTAGCAGCTGTAAAATGTGTCCTTATTTCTGGTTTCTTATTATCTCCGCCAAGGACATTATGTTTTTCTGTTTGTTTGTTTGTTAGCAGGGTTATAGAAAAACCTGCCGACCCGATTTTCATTCAACTTGGAAAGGGGAAGAATATGAAATGTTGCTTAAGATCAGAATCAATACGAGGAAACACACATTATTTTTCACCTACGACCGCCGACCACCAAGAGTGCCCTTCTTGTTTTCATCCTTTTTCCAACCAATCAGCTAACACGGTGCTCCCTTAAAAACTGTTTCAGAGGATGCTCTGGGACTCCATTTCACATCCAACTATTCTCCATTTGCCGAACATCACACAGCATTTTTCCAGTTCAGCTCAGAAAGCCAAAGAGAATGCACGAAGACCGTTTTAATTTATTCCTGTGAAAGTTTTCAGCATGAATAAAACATCTCTCCTGACTTCAAAGGAAAAAAATAAAGCAAAATAATAAATTGGAATAGCACTTTTTCCAGATCTTTCTCATTGACACAAACGCTGAATAAATTCATTCATTTACTGTAGAGTAACTGCTGTTTCAAGTGACAGTTGGTCTCATTAGAACCACGGTTTACTTTTCTAACGTTCCCTTCAAAGCGGTATGAATATGGACTGTATTTTTGTTCTCATTCTATCTTAAGCTGTGAGCAAATAGAATGAAGGAACAGTAATATTTGACACACATTGAAATAATCATGGTTATCGAAACAGGGGTTTTGTTGAGTTTATCTTTTATCTCCATCAGGAACTACATGAGAGACAGAGTGGGTGAAAGACACTACATCTATGAAAGTCTCTACCTGATCCGATGACTTCCTCTATTTTGACACAGGAGGGGTCGATTTCCTTGGCGAACTCCCTTACTGCCTCGTTGGGGTCCTCATAGGTGAAGGGGTCAATGTAGATCTTGACCCCCGGTGAACTATGACCGTCAGACATTGTGGGAAAGGTCACAGTAGGGGTTGGCCCGCTGAACATATCTGGCCTCATTGTCACCTCTGAGGAGAAAATAAGAAAGTCAAAGAGAGTGAAAATATAAATGCTGCTTTGGAAGTTGGTGTGTAAGCATTTTTAAAGCTGGAGCTCATTAAAGTGTCAGCGCTGGTCGTACCTCCTCCTGCGTTGTACTGCTGCAGCTTGTCACCGTACACACTCTCCTTCAACTGCCTCCTCCTGCACACAGGAATGACAGAGTGGTTTGGGGGGATTGAGAAGAAAATGTTGCAAAAAAGTTAGAAAAGTTAGAAATATAATTGGTTGTCTTCTCTTCAGCTGAGATGGGGTTAAAAATAAAGTCTTCCTTTATGTCAAAAGAAATCTGCTTAAGACAAGGAAAATGACTTTTAGGAATGCATTAGTATTTGGTTGCTTGTTATTGTTCTGTGTTGTCAGCTTTGGTCCCGTGCTTTCATACGAGGATGGAACCAAAGAAATGCACTGTTTTTTTGTTTTATGTGTCAACCTCTCAATGGACACACACAAGAAGACAGAGACAGCCTTTCACTAGCTGTTAGTGGCAGGTCATGACGTCACAGAAACTTTGTAGCATTTTTTGAAATTCCTGATCTACTTTGAAACCATTGGGGAATAAAAAATAAATTATTTAAATGCAAAAGCCTTACATTTAGAATTGTGTTTTCTACGAAATCATAAACAAATTGACATAAAAGGAAGCTAAGGAATACTTTTTCCTACATATACCATTTCATATGCATTACCGTATACATTTTAAGATAAATCTACAATAACAGTCCTATTTAATGAGTACATGTACATCATGCAGCAGGATGTAAATCTAGTTTATGAATACTTATGAATAAAAAAAGAAAATAAATGTTGTTTACTGTAACAAAAAGCTGACCAAATACACCAGACAAAACCCAATACATGAGTCCTGTACTGTATAAGTTCATTCTTGACTTTGGGAAAAAGTATTTATAAATCTAATACAATTCTAAACTCAAGTTACATTTACTACCCGTCAACCTGATCATGTGGCTCAGTCATTATCCCATGACAATATTTATAATATAATATTCTAATAAGGAATCCTCCTCACAATCTTAAATTAACTTAGCATTCCAATTTAGCTGCTACTGCTTCAGGGTCCTGTAGCTGTGCATGCTTGGTCTCTGTCACGCTGTAATGGCTTTTCCTACTCGGCAATCAACATGTTTTCTGTCCAAAAGGGCCAATAAATGGTTGGGATACTGAGTGTTTACACTTTTAATAGTCTGGTCGTCACCCTTATTTTTAAAATGATTTGTTTTTCACACATTAAAAACTTTTTTTAAGTATCGCTATTAAATCCAATCACGTCAAGACATATTTAATACCTTGCTCACGGACATTTTGATTGAACAATTACAATTATGTAAAGTATGTAACAGGCAAACACGTGAATGCAGCATGTGTATCTGTGTGTGTTTGGGTGTACAGTATGTAGGTGTGTGTATGTGTGTGTTACCTGGTACAGATGATGCCAATAGCAACCAATGATACGATACACACTCCACCAACTAAAGAGCCTGCAATCAGAGAGAGCTGCTGTCCAAGCTCTGACTTATACTCATCTACAAAAAAAACACACAGACACATTGAAAATATCATTTTTTATATTTTTGAAAAATACAGTTTCCCTTGCTAACACATCAT